GTATTGACTCTGGTCAATTTCTCTGGTTTTCTATGGGTGTTTTCTCTGTTATCTGAATAAATCTAGTTTCAAGTTATTGGCTAAATCGATTCATATAATGGTAAAGAGAGAAGAAACAGGTTAACATTCTTAATTCTAACCAAGTGGTAGTGGGCTAGTGGTTCTCACTTGAAGAAAGAATTGCTCCGTGGGTCTAGGCCATGGTTCAATTCCTTTCAAGCATGGAATTATCTAACTATTTCCATTTGACCAGTCGAAGTGGTGTCACGCTTTACACCCACTAGAAAACCTGGTTAGTGGGCTACTCGACACTACAGTCATCTTGGAGGATTAGTCGGGTAGTAAAAGCCCGGATTACTCCCTGGTTTAAAAACAAAAAAAACATTCCCAATTCGTTTTTTCTTCTATGTTGTGATTCAACTTTCTAATCGGAAGCTCAATTTTGGTAATAGTGACCGTTAGTGAGATGGTATTTTTAGTAGGAGAATTTGTGGAATAACCTATTTGGAATGAACAATTGGCCAATGGCACATAAGTTGTCTAAATAGACGACTAACAAAAATTAGGCATATCAAGAAAAATTAGATATGAGAAGTCTAAGATATCCTTGAAGTATCTTATTCTTTTTAATATCCTTGATGATATTTAGAAACTATTATAGGTTAGCCTGTTTGGAATCGACAATTGCGCAAATGATTCATAAGATGTGAAATTAGACAAGTAACAAAAATTAGACATGTAATGATAGATATGATATGTTTTTTTTTTTCTTTTTTGACACTGTATTTTACTATTATTCAACTACAAGTTAATTATGTTTAGCGTCAAATCTTTACATTTCATGTCCTCGACTTCCTCAATCTCGCTTGCATATCATCATTCTGTTTTGGGATTTGTTTTTCCCTCAAATACTCTATTTAAGTTTAGAAATTTGAAAAATACTATATGTTTAGATTTTTTTTTTAAAGTAGCTCTTTTTAAATTAGATAAAACATTTTTATCCATA